TTTAGGATATTATTATTTTAAACGATATACTTAAATAATTAACTGCTTGAGCAAAATTTTTAAAAACTGATCAGAATATATATATGCTAGAGACGGATCTTCTGTCCGCCTAATGGCGGACCAACCCACATTTTACAAATAATACAACTGTTCATTTAATTGTACTACTGCTTGTTTAAATTGTATAACTATAATTTACATGCATTCTGATTCAAATTGTATTATTTTTTATTAACATAAAATAAACTGGGCTAAGATCATATTTTCCTCACTTTTGTTTGGAAAACAGATGAATATTTGTTTCACTAATGTTTACGTCAGGAAATTAAATATAATTTTAAAATCAATTTGACCTGTTGAATTGATCGTGTTTTGTTTTTAAACCGATACCGCTAAAAGGTAGCAACACTAACTCTAAACCTAAATACTTTGTTTGGGTATTTTTTACTTAAGTATCCTCAGTTACTTTTTTGTCACTTATTTAGAACTGTTACGTATTTGTCAAATATATAAGATTTTTTAAATTATTGCGATTGTAGTTAGCCCAATGCCCACTGCTTCACCCATTATGTTAAGAAAAACTTTTAAGGTTTCAAAAGAAGCTACAATGTCCAAAACATCCGCACCTGAACTATCTTATCATAAATGGTGTCTACCACTAGCGGATCCAGGATTTAATTTTGGGGGGGCTTCAACCCGAAAGATTATTTTTTCATATACATATAACGATAATTAATTAGAAAAAAGAAGAAATTAACTACCTATGTGAAATGGTGTTTAAGTAGTTCTTGAAATCCTAATGAATATAATTACACGAACAAGAATAGTTTAAGAGACAGTTTTTAATATTTTTTTTTCTGTAAACATGGTTATATTTTACCATTTTGGGAGAGAGGGAGAGGGAGAGCTTCAGCCCGAAAGTCCCCCTCCCCGTAGATCCGCCTATGGTGTCTGCAGTTCCTATCCCAGCTTTTCTTATTACCCTCTCTAAGGCAAGATTAAAGATTCTCAATCCTGTCTTTGTGATGAATTCGTAGGATAAATCCGGACCACACACCTAACATCATTCATTGTAATTTGTATTAGCTGGATGACCTTGGATGGGATTCCGTACTCACGCAAGGCTTCATAGAGCTGTATTCAAGGGCCTCTGAATGCTGTCATGTATGCTCTGGAAATCTATAGAAATATAATGAGTGACCATTTTATATTTACTCCTCGGCGCTATAGTCCGCCTGGGACCTTGGCCTTCTCAACAATATTTTGCCACTCGCCTCGGTCCAATCCGACAGCCCTCCACCGCCTGACACCAAGCTGTCTCCAATCCGCCTCAACATCCTCCAACGGAGTGGTGGCCTTCCTCTCCTTCTTGCTCCTCCAGGTCGCCCATATAAAGTCTTCCTCGCCACTCGGTCCGCTGCCATCATTTTCACATGACTCAACCATCTTATGCGTCCTGCCTTAATAATACTAACGAGCTCTGTGGCAATGTAGAGTTGTCGTAACTCTCGATTGTATCGGAAGCTCCAAACACCTTTTTCACACACAGGCCCGTAAATTCTCCTGACTATCTTACGCTCCCACACTCCAAGAGCCTTCTCATGTTTTGCTGAGATAACTCACGTCTCGCTTCCGTATGTGACTACCGGACAAATAGTTTTATAAAAACTTTTATTTTTATTTCTTATAAAAATAACTTTTATTATTTTTTATAAAACTTTATACTTATAAAAAAGTAGTGAGTGACCATTTTATACTCCTTATCGTTTTCTAGAATCATATTCAGCCGAAATCCTGATCCACAGTGAATTCACCAATCCCGAATGATATCTGCCAGTTTCTCACTCAGCGAATGGGAGGAGCTTAATAAAAAGGATATTAAATAGCACTTTATATGCGCATTGTAGGATTGCCATGATAATTGTCACATTTCAAGTTACCCTCTTCTTGTGAATTGTGCATTTAGATAATACCCTTACTCCTATCATCGGATATTTGCTCTCCAATCCAGATCGACAAAATAATATTGTAGGTGGCTTTGTACAGTATTTCACTTCCCTGTTTCAAAAGTTCAGCTGGGATTTCGTCGTCATCCGGTGCCTTATTGTATTTCAGCTTATTTATTGCTTCAATGACTTCCCAAATTTTGGAGTGTAAATATCTTCTTCTCCACAAATGTGTTTACCCGGTGCAACTTCATGCCCAGTCTCTTCATTTAGCGATGAGACGAAGTGTCTAGCTCATCTTGTCAGTACTCAGTATTTAGCACGATCTGTCATTAAGGAGCCATCCTCATTTCTACAAGCTGTTGTGGGAGGTTTGAGCCTACCTTCACTCTGATTTAGCAAACGGTAGAACATTCTGACATCACTCAAACCACTATATTCCCGTATTTTCTCAAGTAGCTGCTGCTCCCACTGCCTCCAGCTCTTCTGAGGACAGCCGCGTATGCTTTTTCTGAAAAAACGTTCTTATAGGCCTTATTTTTCCTCTGCGTTACAACCGCACACTCATCAGCGAACCAGGGTGTTCTTTTATTCTTTCAGCTAATCCAAGAGTTTCCTTAGTCGCACTTCTGATTATTTCAGAGCAGGTACTCTACTGGTCATGAGTTGAACCTTCTGTTGTTGTTCTCCTAAGAAATATAAGAAGTTGTTCCAATTTCGTCCAATATGCGCTGCTTGCTTCGGGCTCTATTAGTTTAGCTGTGTTTATTTTTTCCTTATTATTGCTTCGTAGCTTTCTCCGAATAAAACCGTTTATGGTATCGCTCTGCCCTAGACAACAATCCTACATATCGAATTGCAGTTCATTTGGAGTATTGGAGGTGTCGAAATGTGAAGAAAAACATTATTATACTATCTACTAATAATATACTACACTAATAAATCAAAAATATTATACAGTACAAATAAAACAAAATTTGCAACGTACTGATTCAGAAGAACCAATAAGGTCCAAAATCCAAACAAATACGTTACTGCTTCTAAACTTCTATCTATTTCTCTCATGTCATAGTTGTACATAAGTTTTAATCCAACAATTTTATGCGAAGTTTATTTTCTAGTTTTCTTGTACATTTTTTTTTTGCTTTAAGATTTTAGACAAATGCTATTTTGCATTCTTGTACATTATTTAGTCATAATATCTCATCAGTTAAGTGCATTCTAATTGACAGTCATTTAAGTGCTTAAACAATTTTTTCTGAAAACTATGAGTATGAATATGAGAACAATAAATTCTCGATACGTTGCAAAGTTGTATATTTTTTGACTGAAACCATAAATAAAAAAATAATAATATATATATATATATATATATATATATGTTATATAAAAATAACATGCACGTTGGAATGAAACATAAAATCCTAGCATATGCCGATGATATAGCCGTCCTCGGAAGTAATCAAGAGGATATTGAGAGACTGGCTCGGACTCTATTAAAAGAAGCAGAGCAAATCGGACTACAGGTCAATGTAGATAAAACAAAATACATGATAGTTAGCAGCAACATCCACGCTAATAACATGATCTGTGTGGACTCTAAGTCATTCTCGAAAGTAGACAGATTCAAATACCTCGGCTCCACAATAACCTCCATAAATGATCAACCAACAGAGATAGACCAGCGAATAACAAGTGCGAACAAATCTTTCATCTCCCTTTCAAAGGTACTGAAATCCAGAAAAATCTCCAGAAATCTCAAAATAAGGGTGTACACCGCCGTGATTAAGCCAGTTCTGCTGTACGGTTGTGAAACCTGGGCTCTAACCGGCACACTAGAAGCCAGAATTGAGAGATTCGAAAGAAAAGTTCCACGTAGAATAACTGGACCAATATGGGACCAGAACCTTGACACATGGAGGAGAAGGAACAATAAAGAACTGCTGAAAGAAATGGGTCAGTCAATATCTCATGACATGAAGGCAAGGAGGTTATGATGGGCAGGGCATGTAGCTCGCAGTAATCTATCAGGACGCCTCTAAACGACAATGAATGCCAGAGTAGTAGGCAAGAGACCACGTGGGAGGCCAAAAACCAGATGGATAGATAGGATAAACAAAGATACGGCTGAGCTTCATGCAGCAAACTGGAAAGCAGTAGCCCAAGATAGGCAGAGGTGGAGAAGGCTGGTTCAGGTGGCCAAAGATCTACAAGGTCTGTAGAACCAACCGAAAAAGAAAAAAAAATATTTATATTATTTTATTTTATATATATACTCTAAAACCCAATAATCGTGTTTTAGGAGTTCTATAACGGATATAATGTGCACCACTATCACAGACAGATGAAACACCACTATACAAATGAAACAATGTAAAAGTTTATTATTTTGATAAAATAATTATCTTATCAATTGAAGAAGATTTCCCAATCCGACCGTTTTTAGCCTTAAGATTTTTCTTCTTTTTGTTTCCCCCCTACCCTTTAATCCCTGGGGTGTGGTAGAGCCAGGGAGTGAGGGCGGGGGATTAATGCCAGGTTTGAAAGCCCCTCCCTCACCATCGGTTCGCGAACTCGTAATTATTTTATCAAATGATCTTTCATCATGTTGCCTGGCAACGCGGAGATGTGCAGGTGTGCTCAGAAGGGAGTTTCATGGTTTCATGAACAAAGCGCCGTTTTGACGGGGTTTTGTATTTTTTGAGAGGGGAATTGTATGTGATCTAAGATTTTTAAAAATATACTTTAGCTTGCACTGTTGTTAACTAGAAGAAAGCAATAAAATATCTTGGGAGGGGAGGGGGAGAGTATTATTGACCTTGGTGGGGACGGGCACCCCTGATGACGTGACCACTCCTGTCCCAAGATCTCGCTCTTCCACATCCCTTATACCCCTTTTCAATAACCTCCCTCTTTCCCAAATCCCTTGTTACTCATTCTGCTACTTTCTGGAATTCCCTCCCTTTAAAAATAAGGCATCCCCCTCCTTGTCTGCATTGAATATTCTCCTATTCCAATGCCATACCAGCTAAAACGCTTTATTTTCTTTTAATTATTGGAGATGCTCATTTATTAAAGTAGTTTAATTTTTTTCTAAGCTGCTATTATTTTTATCATTTCTCATTTGTTTGTGTATGGTTCAAGTATTTTATACATAGTTTCATTTGTTTCTTCTATTCCATACGGTTAGTTAGCTAAATTTTAATTTTTTAAAATTTTTGATAATGATATAATAAATCTGGCAATCTTAAACATTATTTGAATTTCATACATGCGTCCACATAATTTAATAAAATGAAACCGTCAAGACTTGATTTTAAAGAACTAGGATTTTGAACGAAACTACAAAAAAAAAATGTTATTTTTTGAGAAAAGGGAAACAGATTTTATTTATAAATTTGAAAGAGTATAAACTAGTTGCAGTTACATATTTTAAAAAGAAAGAAAAAAGTTAATGGAATAATAATAGTAAATAAAGTTTTGCAGCTTCGTTAATGAATCCTTTTCCATAGTGCACAATGGGAGATTGCATTGGACACAATGAAGCGGAAAAAAAAGAAAATATGGACAATCCAGTAGTCATTTATGTTTGTAAAAATCATGATTATGTAAGTTCTTTTATTTTGGTGCGAAAGAAGTTTTTTTTTTTTTTTCATTAGTATAATGAGTTATGATAAATAGGGTTCAGAATATCTAGTGATTTCAATATATTTGATTTAGCAAATTTGATATTAATCCCATTATCGAAATAACACGGATTTTTCGTATGTGACATTTCATGTTCGTATATCATTCGGATTCAGAATCCTTATTTTACGATGAGAATCAAAATGCAAAATTATATTCGGGAGGCTTTGAAACCATTTTGGCCTGATTCTAAAATATTTCGAGTTTCAAGACGAGTTGACTAAGAAAATTCTTGTTAATGGCCATCAGATAATTTTTTGTAAATTCAAGGTTCCAAGTTCCTAAGTTCCAAAACAATTCACAAACGTTAGGTTTTTCCGTTTCAGCCGGTCGCGGTATACAGTTTTAGGAACACAAAAAGTATATTGCGCTTGCGGATGACAGTTTGCTGATAGTCAAAAATTGTGTTGTAAACTATACGTTATCGTGATAAATCAAAGATAAAAAGGCACTCAAAATTTTCCATATAATGAAGAACCTGCTAGATCTACCACTAGCCCCCCTACCGAACGTCTTCTTATAATAACTTTGTTATAACATTTAGTAACCTCGAAGGAATTCTTGAAACGAAACTCAAAAGTCTTTAGAACTCTTATTAAAGGTCATAATCGGAATGTTTATACTTGTTCCTTCTCTTACGAGAACAATTTAATTGTAGTGTAATTTTCATATTTTTAACTGGCGAAGTTGGAGTTTTGAACTCCTTTTCTCCATAATCTAACAAAATAAGGACAAATTTACCCTTTAAAACCATTCAAATTAACAAATAAAGTTTATCAAGTTTCGTCAAAATCTGTCAAATGATTGCAAAATGTTTTAGCCCATATTGCCTCAATTTCTTATGGTAAAAGATTTAATTATTTAAATCAAAAAGGCTTTTTTTGTTACTAAAAAAATATCCAACCTACTATCATCAGAATATATTTATTTTTTTTCCTCAGATAGGGTCTACCCTAACTAATTTTATTAAATTGCAACTATAATGTTTTTTTAGTCTATAATTCCTAAACCTTAACAAACAATCCACGTAATGCAACCAGATATTTCAAAAGATTACTGTGTTAATTATAAGATTACTCTAAAATACATATTGTTTTGGAATATATCAAGATTGTTATCATCTGAAAAGTGGTTTTCGAGCGTTTACGGTAGCTTTTCAGCGTTCTACTGGCAGCCAGTGGGGTCGGTCCTGAACCTGCCCGGTCGCCCTAATTTTTAATTCATGCCAACGCTAACAGAATAAGTATCAGTTTTCTCGACCCGGCTGAAACGGCCTGTTTTTGATGGAGTACTTGAGAACATTCAACCCAAGTTTTGTTTTCAGGTAGTGGTTGACGTGCAGTTCCAAGGACATGAAACGGAATACGAAATCATCCAGGAACAGTTTGAATTCGAACTAGTTGGGAGTCGTATTCACGTAAGGCCTTGTGCTCCAGACCACCCTCAGGGTGCTGGGTATTCAGATCACCCTAGGAAAAGACCGGCCTCTCCCCCTAATGATGAGTAAGTACAAATATCATGGTCGTTTCAAATAATAATAAAAATTGTGGAACAATTTAGGGCAGTTTAGCGGCACCAGTTTATACTTTTTCACATCATTACTTCATACTTTATCATTATACAGACCATTATTGGTTCTTAGTCTCTTCCAATGCACTATGTTGGACAAATGTCCTCCGATCTCTGATCCTCCAAGTATCCTTCGTTACGCTGTCCATCCATCGAAGACGCAGTTTTACTCTGCATCTAGTGCTCTGAATCTCCTCATCTTTAATTTTTCTGGAAATCATATATTGAGATTCCTTACTTAATATGCCTGGTTAACAGAGAAGTAAGGACTATTTCTTGCTTATTTTTATAAGGTATATTTGCCGGACTTTCCATCAGAGATGGTGAAATGCTACTCTGAGTATCGAGTACCAAGTATTTTACTCAAATTGAATCACTATTGGGAATTTAATCACTACTTTAATTAATCCTTTGACGTCAACTGAAGTAGTGATTAAATTCTTTGGTACTCGAAAAAGTCATTATTTGAGTAAAATACTTGGTACTCAGTACTCAGAGCAGCATATGCCTATCTCTGCCTTCTATAGTTGCGCCGCAGAATTCTCAAAGAAAATTTATAAAATTAATGACTTGGTTCATCCAACCGGGATATCGCCCATGGTTCCATGGCATATGATAAAGTAAAGCACCTATTTTTTTAGCATCTTTAAGGAAATTTATTGGTTCTGTTTTCAATCGCGTGGGTACTTAAAAGATTTCAGTTCTGTTAAGTATAAGTAATAGTAATGATCTCTGATTCCAAAATATATAAGTGAAACAGTTGCCTGAAGTGCCAGTTTTCGGAACCCCTAAACCCTATTTTCAAAAAACTAAAGAATTGAATTTGCCAGCCTTCAGAATGAAAGAAATACAATGATATTGTGTACAAATGTATGTTTCTTGTCCGATTTCTAATCTTCAGCGATTTTATCGACCTATAAAACTAAACAATCGAAGCTGCTTGAATATGCGAGCACAGGAAAGATTCCTGCTTTAAATTTCGCCTGTATTTCTAGACCATTCCCAACGCTTAATATTCTTCAATAACTGCAGTGGGTGCCGAAGACTGGCTGGGATGCTGAGAATAAACGATTTTACCAGAACTGGCATAATTAAATCCGCAATTTGCTTGCTTTTGTCGTAAATTTACTTCTTTTGTTATTTTAAATTTCTTGACAATTTCATTCCTCCACCTTCACTAGTACTTCTTAAACATATATATTCCTAGAGGATAATATAGGTTAGCAATTTAGCAGTTATCTTTTATCATTTTCCTTTGATCTTGTCCGCAGTTATTAGGAGACGACCTCGGTTATGTAGGCCAAACTGAATATTAATGCCAGGTATCAAATTCGGCATCCCATGCAAGAAAGAGGAACAGATATTTTATGCAGCTAGATATTTTCCGATATTATCTTGGTCATATCTGTTATCTTGGATAAACGCAACATCTGTTTATCCAAGGATTCGAAGTATTGTATTTAACACTGTGCCCATTGTCTGGATCCGTGCTCTTGGCCTTCTTTCTTGGTTTAATTTGGTCATATTATATTATTATTTGGTTTTATAAGTTCATAAAAAGGTTTGTAAAAGATTCAGAGAGATTCCCTGTCGATTCCCAGGCGCGTTATGGCTTCTGAGCTTATTACATATGTATCAGATTACTCAAGTTAGTATGATAAAAATTTAATAATAACAAATCTTTTAAAAAAAAACTGTGTATTATCCCCTTACCTAGCAATGATTTTCAATCGATGAAGTCATTTAGCGGCTTATCGCATTTCTTTCGATCCAAGAAACAGAACTGCAGGCACAGAGATACATTGGCTGTTCTTCAGCGCCAAAACATTCTGAAGCATCCAAACATACATATAAAGTTGATATACATTATTTATGTTTACATAAACCTGATCACAACTTAACTCAATTTATTTTTTTATTTCCACTGAATAATGAAAATTTGCACTGACATTTTTTTTTCTATTAAGAGTAAAAATTTTAGAAAAAAAATCATAGTACAATTTTATTTTGGTTAAAGAACTTTGAAATGCAATAGGAGAAAAGGGGAACGAAGGATGTGGATTCATCAGTAATAAAATACTATGTAGTTAATTTTTTTTTTGTTTCAGCCCTTGTGAAGTTTTCAGAGCAGTCAAGCCAAAAATAAAACAGGAGAGGCAAACGAGGTTTGGTTAAATTTGTTTTTTAATAATATAATTAATTTTATTTACAAACCAATTTATAATTAATGAAAATTAAATTCAGATTTTTATTAGTGATTACCGAAATTCTGTATGTTTTATATTTTCAATCGTAAACCTTTGTGATAGTAAGAATAGCTGCATATCCGACAAACATTTGCTGTAGTTAAACGCGGTTTAACTATAAGTACTTCTGTTTTTTATTTTTCTTTAAGATTTTTTACGAAATCCTATTTTTCCAGGAATTTATATTTTTTCTTATTAAAGCCGTAATTTTATTTGTCTAATGAACATTCTAAGTTTATTTTATCCTTCACGATCTTGCTCGTTTATTATTTTAGGAATATTGAGTGCCAACCCCTCGATATATTTTCTCCCCTCTTTGCTAAAACGCTTACACAATATTGCCAGATTGAGTTCTCGAATTCGTCTCATATCATACAATTGGTTTCGCCTTTATTTTTATCAAGTTTAAGAATTTATTTTTATTTCCATGGTTGGTTCTCAATTAACTTAAATTTGTTAGCACACTCCTTTCCAAAAATATTCTAACAGAGGCAAACAAACGTCTTAAAGAGATTTTTGGATGGATTAAATAGTGCGCTCCCTTTGCCTTGAGATTCCCTGTCATATAAATTCTGCCGTTCGTTAACAATTGTTTTACTTAAAACAGAAAATGTCTGTTTTGGGGACTTTGAAAATAATTGTTATTGTATTGGTAGTATCTCGAGCAATTTGATCTGCACTTTCATTTCCGTGTAGACTCACATGCTCTGGTACCCACTGGAATGAAAATTTGATGCTGAAATTAAGTCAATAATTTTATACAGAATGTAATTGGCGACAGGGCTCCTGTGTACATTTTGCAAACATTGGCTGAATTTGTGAGAACGACAATATTACACTCTTTATAGTAGAGGTTAGTATGTTCTTCAGCCTTGAAAATTGAACAGATGGAGGACTCCATCATAAGTTTGACAAAACATTTGTCCCTCCTGAATAATGTTCCCTATGGGATTGGACTGGTCACAGTAAGCTGTAATCAAGATTGTTTTTGCAAGCCATTTCATACGCAAAGAAAGAGGCATTTCACTATCTTCGGTCAACAGTGCATTTATTGCTGTTGTTTTAAAGGATACATATCCGCAGGGCTAAATTTTAAATTGTATTCAGTTTATGAATTAATAAAGATTTGGCTTCTTGATAGAATATGCATGCATAATCTATAATTGATTGCATTATAGATTTATATGATATCATCATATTTAAAGGATGTGTGTCCCACGAGACTATATTGTTTTTTCATCGCTCTTAAAATTCAGAAATGGTTATTGCAGAACTAATCGAATTTAACTAGAAGAGATTAATTAATTGACATCTTTCCAGTTTCAATCTAACAAGGTTACTTAAGTGGAGTCACAGATTTCAATGAAAGTTGTTTTAATGATAATCGGTTGAAATATGTTAGACCCTAGAGCATGGGGTTCTTCTCAGTGCATCCTAGTAGCTGAAAAAATATTTATATATTTTTTTTCCATTACTCTACATGGATTTATAGATTTTAATATATCAATCGATTTTTTTTTTATTTTTATAGAATAAGAAAAACATATTGCTGATTGCATTAAACGAATTAAAATGTACAGGATAATATTAAAATTTCTCTAGGAGTAATAGAAAACCTCATGAGCTCAAAAAAGTTTATATAAACAGGCTAATTTTCCATAGAGAAGTAGGAAATCCAGGTTTTGTGTATTTTTTAAAGTAAGTCGTGTTTATTGCTCAATAGGAAGCAAACACTAAAGAAATATTTCATTTAAGTAATTAACAATTGATTCACTGTAAACTAGGCAAAATTTACTTTAAATGAAAATAAAGTTTTTCATTGTTAAAACCACTTAAAGATGATTTTTGAGCGGCTTTGGATGGATTTAAAAAAATCCATTTTTTTAATCATCGAGATTTTTTTAATCATGATCCAACTATACGCTAAATAAAGATGCTTCCAGTAAAGAAGGCCTGTAAATTTTGCCATAAAAAAGTAATTCAGATTCGTAATTTCTGAACATTTTTCAATAAGTTCGGATTACATTTTAAAAATATTTGTTTGTATTAATTAACAGACTAAATAACCTGAATTTATTGATAAAATGACTATTTTTTCTCAGATCTGCAAAAGCACGTTCTCCATCACCATCGAGGCGCAGTTTGGTAGAAAAACAAATTATAAGGTATTTTAATTAATTTTCCATGCCAATACTCACGTATTACAATTGTATCACTAATTCGTGTTTTTTTTATTTCTTAAAATACAGTCCTATACAGTAGTTAAGCCCTCTTAACCAACGGGGAGAAAAAGAACAGCCTATAACTAGCGCAAGCCGAGAGCTTTATTCTCACATTCAAAGGTATTGAAATCCCGAAAAATCTCAAATTAAGTGTGTTCAATTATGATGAAGCAGGTTCTAATATATGGGTGTGAGATCTCGACACTAACCATCACCCTAAAAAAAAGTGTTTAAAGATTTGAGAGAAAAATCCTTTGCACGATAACGGGAGCTATCTGGGATTAGAGTACTAACACATGGAAAAGAAAGACCTATAAAGAACTGCTTACAGAAACTGGTCAATCAATATCCCATTATATGAAGGCACGGAAGTTAAGATGGGCGGGGCATGTAGCTCGTAGCAATCCATCTGGAAGCCTCTACGTATCAATGAATGCCTCAATAGAATGCAAAAGACTACGTGAAAGACCAAAAAACAAATGGATAGATAGAATCAACAAAGATGCAAGAGAGCTGCGTGCAGATAAATGGAAAGAAATAGCCCAAAACAGGAGCAGGCTTGTTGTGGCAAAAGAACTACATGGTCTGTAATGCCAACAGAGGAAATAAATAAAAAAGTTAATCAATTAGAGCTGAGAAAAACTTTGAGAGTAATCTGTTTGGCAGGTGTACAGGTCTATTGTGGACATAGGCCACACTCCGATTCTTTTCCACACTAAGACTAAGGGCTGTAACTCAAGGTCTGCCGATGAGGTAGTTCGCAAGTCGTCTTCTTACTCGCTTCGCTCGCTAGCATCTGACTTTTGGCCGTAGATAACGCCGTCTTAGAGAGGGGGTAGTGCAAGACGAAACCGGGGGTCCCGTGTTGTTTATATAATGATAATTACAATACAATAAATAATAAAATTTTGGATGTAAATCCAACAATATTGATTCGGCCAATGAATGACATGAGCCACATCCAGGATTTCGGACACATAAAAACCTTTATCATTTAATTCTATGTTTTATTTATATGCATTTTAGAAATTTAATGCTTATTTATTTAAAAATTAGATGCAGAGATCGATCGACATCGCCATGTGTTACAAGAAAAATGCGACATGAAGACTGTGATGAAAGGTGAAATATTACTGTACATATACAATTTTCTTTTTAGTTGGCATCATTTCTTAATTTATTGAAATACGAATTGTGAATATACTAGAGCATGACAATAAATATGTGTGACACACATGTAGATCCCAAAGCACTGCCAGCTTTTTGGTATGTACCTATTATAATATAATAACAATAACTTATTTTATATATTATAGGTTTCCTCTGACCAGGCGGCGGCCACAGCGAGTCAATATGAAGAGTGAAGATTCAAACACAAGGTTAGATTAAAGAATAACTTGAGTATTGTTTTTTTAGTGAACATATTATTTGTTATTTCTTTTATAAAATGAATCTGATTGTAACTAGAATTATATCAACTAACGCAAGCTGTTTACAATACTTCACTTTTATCTAGAAGAATCTTGAGTAACGGTATATTAATGTCGGAAGAAAGGTTTGATAAAGCCTATTTTATTGAAGAAATTATATTTATTTCATGTAATTTATTTTGTTTTTTTACTTCAAACCTACACGTTAATTCCTTGACTATATTCAATTCTTATCATCCTATTTTTTTTAAAATTTCATTGTTGATATTTCCACTACTGTGGTTATTCTTGACCTAAATATCCTTTAAGATATTCTTCCATCCTTCTCAATCTAAGGTTTGTTCTTCTCTCATGTCATGCCGCGACAGGCTTTCTTCCATCTTGTCTTTCCATTTCCATTTAAAAAAAAATATATTAGTTTAATTTTAATGAATTTATGGTATATTTAATTTGAACAGTAATATATACCTTATTAACATGAATTGATATTTTGTCGACAGTTTTTCTTCGTATCCTCCTGCAAGAAGACAACAAAGGCCAATCAAAAAGGTAAAAGCCTAATAACAATTTTTATAAGAATGGCACCCACGCATGCGCACCTACACATACACATTTATGAGATGTATGTATATACTCTAAATCATACTTCGTTTTGCAGGAATCTTCGATGTGGATTATTTCGAAAAGGGTTCCTGATAACTATTCAATGGATTCAAGTATGCAATAATTTACGATAATTATTAGAGATTTATATTTGCCAACCGCTATTTAATGAATGATACGTTCTCGCTACTTAGATAACAGCTTGGGAGATGTCAACAACGGCTCTTTCCAGTATTCCGTCCAACAGGATGATGATGGCAATTATTCCTTCACTGCAAGTATAATTCGTCATTATTATCATTCTGTTAATTTTAAAACTATGTTACAATCCAGAAATGAAAATTTTTTTATTATCCTTGGACAGTTTTCCCTTTAGAAAAAAATATAAATATAGAGAAAATGACTGTGTGGCCATACATTAAATTAATTATTTACAAAATAATATCTAATCCAAATAAAAATATAGGAAGAAAAAAAACATACACATACATATATATAGAGGGAATAAACATAGGAAAATAAAATAACATAAGTAAAAAAAAATAGTTTCTGGGAGAACTTAAGGAGTTCTCGTATGTATTCTCGTATTTCGTGATCAGTCGGGTTGGGAAAGGAGTAGGTTTAAAAAGGAGAGATTGAAATGAGGAAACTGATTGAGCATGTCGGATATCGGAAGGGATAGTACTCCAAAAGGAGACGGCTTGAATTACAAAGGATTTGTCAAACGTACCAGTTCGGTGAGGAGGAGAATAGATGTCGAAAGAACGGGATCTGGTTAGACGGGATTGAATTCAGGATTTGGATTGTAAGCTCTGAAGAATATAGGAGGCTCGCTGACTTCTAATGGTATTGGAAGGTAGCAAGGAAATAATGACGGCGGTGGGACGGATAGAGTCACTTCAACTCGGTGCAATACTTAGTAATATGCGCATCTCTTCAGATCTCGAAGACAAAACGTATTGAGCAATTCATTAGGCGTTTAAGATTGGCTTCGGGTTCTCCCGAGAGTCCACCGTACACCATACAACCATAGCTAAAGTGGGAGTAAACAAGAGAGGAAACTATATAAAATTATTTATAAATATATACATAATTACAGAATGATACTGTAGTATTGTTATATACTTATAAATAAAATTAAAGGTAAATAAAGTTAATTATTAATTATTGCAATATTAATCGAAATACTGAGCAAACAATTTTTATTGTTATTATTTTATGTGTTTATCATGTATTATATTTATATACGGTTTGTTCTCGTTTTCGGGCCGGTATATATTACATGCATGTATTTTTTTTTCAAATATTACCAACATCTTCGATATGATTCAATCTGTATTCACAAAATGTGCAGGGATTTAGGATCCTATAAACTACAAAAAATGGCACAAATCAGATCCTCGCAAAGAAATTATAACGGGAGATATAAAATAAAACGTTATGAGGAGTTTTTCTTTTATTCCTTATTTATAACAGAAATTTAACTTTCTAACGGTTGTAGTAACGTTGAATTTTGAAAAATCCTGAGGAGTTATGAATGCTTAATTATATGGCAGATATAAGATCCTCCAATAAAATATAGTCCAAAAATTTTTTCTCGGCTTCTAGGACGCATTGGCAGTTACCCTCGAACACAGGCCTAATATTATCCGACCATGACTAGCCAAATAAAGTTTCATTGATATTGGTGACCACACGTCCGCAAGTGTTTCTTGGTCAACGATTGTATGCAAGGAGGTGATGCGCATGCTCAACCGCCAGGTTTTCCTTCTTAATTAATTAAGAGTACTCGTTTTATAGAGATTGGGTGTACTACTATTGATCCACCACGCCTGTTTTTTTTTTTTTTTTTTTTTTTTTTTTTGTTCTTCTCTACCTTGCCATTTAGGCTATACGGGATTTCCCCGGGCCGGAGGGTGAGGGCGGGGAATTTAAAATACCCTCCGGCACCGGGCCGCGAACTCGTACTTATTTTTGTCTCTCAAAACTTCATGTATCTGGTCGCCGGGCAATTCGCGGTGCAGTGTACACGCTTTAACCCATTCGGCCACCCCGCCCCCCAATCCACGCCTGCTTTAATAGTATAAATATTTCCCTGTACAGCCCGACTCGAACCCAAGACCGTGAGTAGATTGCCTTACTCATTGATCTACCCTGCTCCCTCAAGTATTAAAAGTCGCGGCAATACATCGTAAGTGTTACAATTATTTATGATATCAATGAAAGTACTTTGAAATTTTTGTCTTCAATTTTCTTTTCTCGAAATTCGCAATAAACCTTTCTTAATATTTGAATAAACAAAGCATTCGTTTTCTCCTAGCATATTATCTATTTACAATGAAATTATATAGAAATTCAAACAACTTCTTAAAACTTTAATTAGCTGTAGGGATGATATAGTAACCAGTCACTACTATATTTTGGACTTATTTAAGAAATTATTTAAATTAATTAGTATTATTTAAATTATTTGGGATTATTATTTAGGATCAGTTTGGCCATATAAAGATTTTTTTCAATTATCGAATAAAGTAGTTTAAAAATAATAGTTTGAACTGAACACTATAGTAGATTTTCTAAAATTACTTGAAAAGCCTTACAGTAACATTAATATCGCATTGGTCGTTGTCTGTTGTAGAGATTAAAGTTTGTTTTAAAATACTCTTTGAGCTATAAGATTTCTTTAAAACTTTATATCAGTTAAAAAGTATGTTTTTTTACTAAAAATATAAAATTAGAAAACTTTATGAAAACTAGGAACGATCAAAAAACATTGACAGGATGAAACGGGGAAGCAGGAATTTGGCCGTTCAAGCTGGATACGATGAAGATTTGTGTTTGAAAAGGTTGAAACAGTTTTGCGAAGGAAGGCACTATAACGGGAAATTACAAAGAAATGTATGTAATCAGAAAGGCTAACAATGGTATTTTTAGTTAAAGTTATACTTTTAACTTCTGACCTTCTAAGTTTTGCTGATAAGTCGTGTTTAATTTTGGCAATAATTAAAATTTTCCGTATTATTTTGTATTTTAAATATGTATTTATATATTTTCTTTCCCCTTTCATGGCTCAATAAAAACAAAACCTATTTTTTAATATTATGTGTTGCTGTGTGGCAATAACATAAACAGTAACGTGAGACACACATGAATAGGTTATTTAAGTAAGACACCTGAACAATTAGAAGATACTCTCTTGTGTTATGGTAATAAGATATATACACACATACATACATGGTTGGCTCTACGGACCTGGTAGCTTTTGCCTCCGCGATGTGATTTTCATTTCAAGATCTGCTGCTTGCGAGAGTTGACAGTAATCCTGAAGAGGATCATCCACCCTCGTCTGTAAGGAACCATGGTTCCATTGTGCTGCGGCAGCTAAACCATAGCTCCATAAACTGTCCCCTGTGGGCCAATGTGGCAATGTCCTACCCCTCAACGTACGCTCAGATTTAAAGACAGAGGCCAATAAACTAAAAACCATAGATTATGGATGTTCAGAATCAAAATACATAGAATATTTTTTTCTCCAAAGCAGACCTTCATGAACCAAACCTCCGGGCTGTTTCTGACAACTTGGGAAATCACTTTGCTTTCTCGATTAAGGGTATTGTGAGGTCTCTCCAATAAAATAAGAGGTCTCACAGAGGGCCATAATCTATTCGAGTACTTTGAAACATCCATTGATTCAATGACCCAATCCAAGCTCGAATTGATTAACTTCTATTGTATATTGCAAGCTCGGTATATACAAATATTTATAATTGAGACCTATTTATGAGGAAAAAATGAAAAATCTAAACATATTGGATGGTATTATTGTGTTATGGAACATAACATTATTGCATGATGAAAAAAGTGTTTATTGTAGTTTTTCAAAGAAATTGAACTGTAAAATAACAATATATTTTTTTTTATAGCAACCAGGGAGAAGAAATACAGTGGGACCGAGGTGCGACATGTGAGTAAATAATTTTGTTTAGAGCTTATATATATATTATGGGTGCGTGTTAATTTGAAATTAATACATAATAATACACATTACTGAAAATTTTACTTATCAATGGTACTTCAAAGAAACCTTATTTTAATTATTTATAAAATAAAATTTAATTATTCCATTAATGTTGCTGTTAGGTGAATCTTGGAAAAGTTTCAACGAATTTTTTAAGTCGGTGATTAACATTCCACGATATAATTCTTGTTTTATTTAAATTATACATAATAATAATAAATTTTTTAAAAAGTACAAAGGAAATTTGGCATTTTTGTTTTTTTGTTGTTCATCAGACATACATATCCAATTCTTATGTATTATAACGGATATTTAGCCAAATTTAAATAAAATGATATCCGTTCAGTTTTCAGTCTTCAGAGTTGAGCTAAAATTAATTTGAACTAATAGATTCGCGGTTGAGAAAGTAGCGCAGGGATCTCTTGGAGTCCTGCTTTTCCTTCTATAGCTGGAAGGGGAAGCCTGGCTTGGGGTTACCTGCCTAATTGTAAATATTGTATATCAGTATAACTGTGTTTTTATGTTTTTTAATTTACTTATCTGTAGGTTATTTTATTTTTTTTATTATCAAAAACTATGTATATAGTTTTTGATTATTATTTTGCTATTGTTAATTTTATATGCTCTGTATAATTGGTGTGAATGTGTTCATATAATACTATAATTGTTGTCCACGTGACAGATTATTATATTTCTAAATAAATAAAAACTAATAGATAATAGATAATTAGTTGTACTTCCCTTGAACGCACAATTAAATAGTTTTTTGTAAATAGACTACTAATATCTGTAATTAAATTAGTTGTAATTTGTATCGGGTAGCTAATTTTTTTTACTATGAAAAATTAGTTGGAATGGCATCTAAAACTAAATATTTTTTTTCGTAGCTGCCGAATAACAAATAATAGCCTTTTTAACCCTTCGGGCAACCAATCCTTCCTCTCTCAATAGCGAAAATACGCTAAAAGAATGACTCGTGTAAAAAGTTTACCGACTTTTTTATCCTATTTTTTGTAGTGATCGAGTGATCAATTTTTCACGGTTTAAATTAGTTTCTGACCGTTTAGAGGTTTTCAAAAAGAAATACAAGTGTGAAAATTTTCAATTGCTTTACTATTACTAACTCGTTAATGGGTATTTGGTTGTTCAAACGATTTTCAAATTGTTTAAAGATAGTCTAAATGATTTCGAGTCTAAAAATTGTTCTAATTTTCTTATAATTTGTCTATTTTCCTGTTCACTATAAAAAAAAAACAAGAAAAATTAATTTTCATACTTGCATTTCTTTTATCCTACCTTTAAACAATAAATAAAAACATCTGGTGTGTCCACTCACACGACTTTCCTACCTATTTCAGAAAAGTTTTTATATCTTTACATATGTTCATGAAGAAACAAAACAAAATTGAACTAGATTTATTTTCCTGAAAATTGATCAAAAACAAATTTGAGAACGATTTATTTGATAATTTAAAGCAATGTAAACCAGCTTAAGTTAGATCAGTGTAAAAATTTCAATACTCTAATATTACTGATAAAAAACTTTTTGCCATAGCTTAGTATTGTCAAACAATAATTTCTGTTAAAAGTAGAGGAAGAAGTGAAGCTTGTGTGATGCGGGCAACAGATTTTCTTACTTTCACTTAGTCTTAGTTATTTTCTCATCTCTTTCTGACACCATGATATGAACCCGTAATCTTACATTGAAAATTGATTAGCTGTAACTTTTTTAATAGTTATCCGAAATGAACGATTTTATATAGTTTTGCAGGGAATTAATTCATCTTTCAAAAGTTTTAATAAAAATGTTACCGTATAATATATACTTTAGGGAGTTAGGCCCCATAACATTTTTCTCTTCTTTATAACTTTTTTTCCTGAATTTTCTCGGGAATTTAGTCCATATACGAAAATTGAAAACAGACAGACAGACAGACCAATGGCTAAAAATGTGTTTTTCGGACTCAGGGGACGAAACGTATAGATTCGTCGAAAACCGCATATCGGAAATTTGACCCGACTGCAATAGTTTTCTTACCTAGCGTAGGTAGGAAAGTAAAAATAGTTTGAATCATGAAAAAGCAATTTTGAGTGAGAAGACAGGGAGAGAAAAAACAGTTGTCATACTTTGTTACTCTTAACAGGATTTTTTTTTTTTTATTTATTCATGATATTTACAACTGTATTAAAAAATTAAATACATTAAGTAAATTTGATAACAGAAAATAAAAACATGAAATGACTTGTTGAGAAACTACCCACTGGTAAGCACTCTAAAAACAAAATGTATTTACAATAAGAGATCTCGAGGCCATCTTCTTTTCAGACGTAACAGGATTTAATTCGGAGTATTCATTGTTATTTAAGAGATTACAAGGAACTCAATATTTACTAGTAAAATGATTAAAAGTATTGAAAAACTCATAATCTCTACTCCTATGATTGAAACTTTTGATAATTCCAACATTATATTGTGAGCTAGAGCCTTAGATTATTCATTTAATATGAATTATCATTACCAGGTGCAATTCCGCTTTGAATGATAGAGAACCGAGATCGAATATGAAGCAATATCGACCGTCCAAAGAAAAAAGGTGCTCCTTCAGGTGAGGCATAATCTGTTCGAAATAAAATCAAAATAATTGAAGCTCATTCAAACATTATTGATATGCGATCTCAAGATCCAATGACCCAAAAATTACCCAACATAATAAAAACCTGCTCGGGTAAATGAACCGGTAGCTGAAATGCTTGAGGAAATTTCTTTGAACTTTTACTTATAAAAACTTAAATATTGGTGTTATCATATTTTTCATGGATTCATCTTATTTCAAATCATCCAAGACATATTTCAAATCCATGAAACATTTGTCTAAATTTAAAAAAAAAAAAAAAAAAAACCTGTACCACTACAACCCATGAAGGGGTCTTGGGTTCACTACTATTTAGGGGAAGTACTGTTTCTAGGTCAACGGTTGTGCAAGGAGGGGATTTGACCGAGATCTCGCTCAACTGCCAGGTTTTGCCCCTTAATTAATTATTTGATTAAAGATACCTACTTTATAGAGGCTGGGTGTGCTCTAGGAGGATCTCCCTACAAAGGGTCCCTCCACGGCCAATGTGACAGAATAAATATTTTTTCTGCCATAAGCCGGGTTTCGAACCTGGGACCTTTAGCATTGGAAGCTCAGTACCCTACCACTGAGCTACCCCACTCCCTATCTAAATTTAAAAAAAAAATGAAAATTAAGAGAATAGTTCTGTTGTACCAGTAGCTGACAGAAATGAGAAACAGGAAGTAAATAAGGGAAATTTCATATTCTTCATTTTAAGATTAATAAAAATTACTTTTAACTTTTTATAAAATTAACTTCTTGTGTATCTCGACTTAAATATATCAATAAATGCTGATCATTTTCAAGAAACTGTTTTTGGAATTAGAAGAACCTATTTTTGCTATTTATTTAATCCAAATTAATATATATTTTTTTTAACGAAACAGTAATATGTGGTCCCATTTTAAGATCCGATATATTGAGTATATCTCTTTGAATTTATGAGAGTGCAGGCCTGTCAACTACTGGCAAAAGTCCCCATTATAAGGCTCCAGTAGCTGACAACCATTAAACATCCAATTCCTTCATCAAGATAAGTTAAAAACAGATAAAATATAATTTAAAAACACTCCAAAAAAAATTTAAAAAATTTGGGATAAATCTGAGTAGTTAAACAGAAAACCTAAGCAAACCTAAGGTATGTTGTTATTACTGACAGATGGTTGTTCCTGGGACACTATGTGGTCCATGAGGGACCTTCTTAATTTGCCACTAATTAGACTAAAGCAAAATAGACAAATATACAAGGAGAAAATATAGAAACAGAAAATATATGTAATAGAGGTCAAGGAGTTCCAAAAATGTATTAATTCCATTTTTTGAGGGAGATGTCAGGTATTGGTACACTGTCAGCTTTGACCCTAGTTATTTTTTATAAACACAAATAATATGAGGAACGATTTTATTTATATTTTGTATAACCGTTTTAGCTGCCACCAATGCTGTTCCGATGAAATATCTCCGTCTGTTGTATTTGAAGAATATGAAATGTAAGTATAACATTTAAACAATTTAAATTTATATAAAAAATAATTACGTCATAATGAGTAAACCTGTATGATGTAGTAAGATAGAAGGTAGTCGATTTGAGTGGAGTGTTGATGATTGGCCGTATGGTAAAAGAAGAACATGGTCAGAAATGGTCACCTAAAACAAGTTTTAACTCTTACTTAATTCAATGTTCAACGTTTCGACAGTTTGTAGATCTTCATCATGGCTGGAAAGAAATATACAAAAAAAAAAAAGGTGAATCGGTTGTAAGAGTATAAAAATTGACATGTGGAATTACTAACATAAAGATGTTTATTTAAAAAATTATAAATAGCGGCCAATGAAACCGCTGGATATAAACTCAGTTTTATTATGATAAATTAACTTATTTAAATTCAGTTTACTTTCAATCGATACTTATTTCATTTTTAAAATTTAATAAGTAGTAGGTAGAATTATAATAAGAGGTAAAATTCAGTAGGTAGGGATTTTCTTAAATATTTTTCGTTTTTCATGTTTTGCAACCTACTATGAGTGGTGCGCTTCCGAGGAAATCCGACCTGCTCCTAAACTCAATCAAAAATCCTTTTCATAGGTGCAGAATTCAGTCGGTTGATAAATTCATCAATAAAATTAACGCAGAGTTCAGGAACTTTCCAATGATTAATATGTAAAATGAAAAACAGAGGTATCTGATATAATGTGTGAAAAAAACAAATAAAAAAAAGGATTATGCTCCCTTGAGGATTAAGCTCCCTTCGGGGTTGCCACCCATCGCTGGTTTTATTCATCAGCTGTTCTCCCTGATAATTCTCTTCATCTTATTAGTTCTTCATCAATCCAGATCTTTAAATACGATTTGTAAATACGCTGCCCGGTCCTGGAGGCAGCTTCTCATCAAATCATACAGGTTACTGGGGTTTCATATTACTGGAGAACTCTCGGCCACCACACGCTTTCAAAGGCCGAGGATATGTCAAACAGGAGAAGCATAGCATACCTTTCTGCTCTTCCATCTACGTCATGGCGCAGTCTAAGTATGGTATCTGGAGTTGCTTGTCTAACGCGGTTCCATGTTGTAGTCGATTACTCAATCTTGATAAGAATGGCTGAAGATTCATTACCACCGAGTTTTCCAATACCTTGCTCATTACAGGAAGGAGACAAATAGGCCTGCATGATTTGGCAAGTTGCTGACATCGGTAATTTTAGAGCTTCATGAAAAGTATGCCCTATGTAGGCATTCATTAAGAAACAAGTTCTTTTTTAATCTACTCTAATTTAATTTGTCATTGTATATTATTTTTAACGCGAATTGTCTTCTTTCAGGTTCGCTAGTACTGAAACGATAAAACGGTGAGTATCTTACCACATTTTTTTTTTGTTTTTTAGTTACGTTTACTTAGCATGTTAGTGGTGCTTAGGGAATCACCGAAATTTTCAATCACAATTCATTTCTGCCCGACCATTATTGAGTCGTACGTATTTGTTTTTTCTTATTTTCTTTCTTCCCTATCTTTTAATCTCTGTACAAGTTTTTTTCCCGAGCCAAGGGAGAGGGCAGTGGATTAATGCCAGAGTTAAAAGTTATCTGCACCGGGACTCGAACTCATAATCTTCAGTTTATTAGGTTGTCGAACAACCAGTTAAACTGCTCGGCCACCCCGCTCCCGTTTAACTTAAAGTTGTGGCATCGAGATTCACTGTCGCAAGTATAATATTAGGTCTATGCGTTATCTTGAAAACGGTACGGTTTAGAGCTTAAAAACGCAAAGGCCACGATAGTTCTTACGAACAATAGCAGATAATGCACATGCACATGTCAGGACATGAGGTCTGCGTCGAAATATGTAAAAGAAAATTCATGCCGTCTCCATTCATTCATTCATGACTCATCCATACATCCGTTAACTTTTGGAACCATTTGTTTTGAAACCTCCTACTTTTTTCAAGGGCTTTTATTATTATAATAGTAAGTTTCATGTTTTTAAATTTTGATTCGTTCATTCTTCATGAAATTCCGTTTCGTTTGATACATCATTTATCAATATCCATCCGTTGTGAAGGTTGAAAAAGAAATCCATACTAGCATATTGTATGTAGTTTAGATTAGTAAACCTTACATTAATTTTTTTTTCTCTTATGCCAGTCGTTGGCCATTTGGCCATCCGACATCTTGCTGCCCAGTATAATTTAGACTTTCTAATATATATATTTGAAAGTATTTTTTCTCTTATGTCCCTCAAGGCAGGACATGCGTCTAGATGGTCTGCATCCATTGTTCCTAGATGACACAATTTACAGCTAGGATCCTCAGCGACGCCTATCTTGTAGAGATGACTCTGCAGATAGTCGTGACCAGTGGCCAGGCGGAAGCAGGCAACTGCATCTCTTCTCGGCAGATCAGCTGGAATCGGATTATCTTTCAAATACTCATGATGTTTCCCTTCCACTTTGCCCAAATGTGCTTTTCTTATTTCTTCCTTCACTACCATCTTTACCATTCGCCGTATTGAGTCGTAAGGTTTTGGATGTATTGGCTGAGGCAAATCTGTTCCTCGCTTAGCAAGAATATCAGCCTCAACGTTACCCGGAATCCCACAATGGCTGGGGATCCACTGTAGGACCACATTGGTGCCTCGGAGTGACAGGTTATGGAGGAGGGATTTGCATTCCAATCTAGCACTCGATAAACATTCATTCGTGTTTGTAACAGCGAGGAAGGCTGCTTGGGAGTCGATGAAGAGAACAGCGCTCTGGTCCCGCCTTCTAGACAATGTTCTTAAGGCTATGAGGATCGCCGCTATCTCACCGTCGAAATTTGTTCCATCTTTACCCACCTCAGCGCTGGTTTGGAATTCCCTTGAGTAAACCCCTGCTCCAGTATTACATTAAATTAAATTATTAAATTGTATACTCACGCCTTACATCTGTATCCTTCTTATCCCTATTATAAGTGGTATTAAGATAATATGTTTTTTCTAAAAACAATGTAATATTATTCAGAAATTCAATCCAGCATACATAATTGGCAATGTTATGGTTTATAATGACATTTTTGGAGTAACAATTTACTTAATGAATAATCAGCTTACACCATTGGAAAATATCCCTTCGATTTAACAATTAAGTAACAGGACCAAACTATCCTTAAACATGTCCGAATACCAGTATCCTACTCGCTGAGACCTTTTAGGTTGGTGCAGAAAAGTGCCCGTCTCGTTCCTTTACAAGCACTCATCGAAACTTATCGATTCGCCAACTTACCACCATCGCAGTAATGGTATTCTTACACTTTACAATTGCGAAGTCAAAACTATTTCAGCAGCACTGGGTAGAATTGAGGAGAAGCCCAGCTGAATCCAGATTGAGTTCTTCGTTGACTCACAAGCCGCCATACCGGCAATATGCTGTGATCTCAATTATTATTTTTTCTAGTCTCAAACGCTAGGTATTGCATTGAAGATGAAATTAAAAAAAAAAGGAATCCGATTTAAATT